TGTTCTAGTGGTGCCAACTAGAAATATCACAATCACCAGTTTACTGAATATTTCCACCTGGTCTGTTTTCATGGCCAATTCTAGGATGTTCGAATGCACACTAAAAAATGTTCAATTATTTTTTTTTAAATTTATTCGAATGATAAATATATAGGTTTGTATTTTATACACCGACAGTGTGCCAAACGATCAAACGCCATCAAGAATTAGTAAGTTGACGGAGATTGATGGGTGAAACATACTCAGGACCACCATCCAACATATACTTTGCTGCGATTACAATCGCCGATTCTGTCGGATGGAATGGATCCCAAAAAAGATACTTTGTCCGGTCAGAACAAACTCGAGACATCTCTGTGCATGCCCGATCACTTCGCAACAAGCATAGTCTATGTTCTCAAATCCTGAAACAGGAACCAAGCCAAAAAAAAATATCAAAATTTTAAGCTCATTTAACATTTCCAAACCCTCATTGATGAGTCTCACCATATGATCTAGAGTTGTTAATTATATCTTTCGTCAATGCAAAATTATCAATATAAACGAATACCGACCCCGTAAGGCTGTTCCTAGGATCTTCGAGCAAGCTTTTTAGTTTAGAGTTTAACAACTTGGCTAAATTATTTAATGATTCAACACAATCCCGGGCACATATATGTGTGTCTATCTCTAACGGAATGCAACCCACTTTCGAGATACTGAGCACTGTAAACTTCCTGGCATCCATGTCGTAAAGTATCTGCAATTTACATAGATCGAAGATCGTTAGAAATCGGATATTGTTTACGCCTTTTTATTTTGTTCAAGTGAAAGCTGGTGTGGGTTCGTAAAGAAAAATCCTCATTGGTTTTCACTTGAAGAGATCAAGATGTTTACTTGGTGGTTAAACCAAGTGAACCTTTTGACCTGTCGGGTGAAACTTAACTGGAAACTAAAATTGTAATCTGAGAGCAAGAAGATTTTACTGTGATCTGTGACTGGAAATTGGAAACTACTTCATCTGTAAAACCGTTCTTATCAGGAGTTGCATATTCTCCGAATAAGATATCATTGGACCCAATTGCAAGAAAATAGAGTGAGTTTATGAGCAATGCTAGAGCAGCTGATGCACCAATTCTTGATACAATGTCTTGCCTAGTCTTGGCAAAGTAATCCACTTGTTTATCCATCCAAATTCGTTCACCCTGCAACGTATACGTATTTGGGGTTAATTTCGAGTTCTTGTTGTTCTGGGTTTAGGTTATTTAGACTAGGCTCTTGAGCTTTCAAGTTGACTCATAACACTAAGATCATTTCGGGTTTTTGTCACTTCAAATTCGTTTCATTTTGAATTCAAGCTAATCTTAGACTCCAGGTTGGATCAATTTTAAGTTATGAACTTTATGGTCAAATCATATTTGATTGGATTATCCATCGACAAATGACTCGGATTAATCTTACAAATAGTGATCCGGGGGCTTGTAAAATTCAGGCTCCAGAGGAGGCATAGTTAACTCCCTCAAAAATCATCTCCCCGGTAGTATTAGGTGCCAAGAAAGGAGGACTGTAATCTTGAAACCCCAATTCTTCCCCTGTTCGAAACACACACAAAATTGACAAAATTAACGAAGCACGAATCAAGTTAACCGTCCAAACTCGAAGGTTTACTTGATTTTAGACGATTTGGATAAACATATTATGTTCGAGAAACGAGTCGCATAACAAGTGCAACAAATATCAATCATAAAATAACGGTCATAACGACACATTGTCCTGATATTACGGTTGGATAAGTATAAAAGAATTCAAGGAAGCTTGCCTATAATGTCTGTAATTATTCGGGAATTGGTGTATCGCCCGGATGGAGTGCCTCTTGGGAAGCCGATGCCATTCGGAAACCTCGGTTTTGCCAATGTGTCGATGTAATAGTTGTTTCTGACTTTGACCAGTGAGTCTCCGAAGATGAAAAATGCAGTAATATTTTGAGCAAAACCGATGGCTGAAATCCGAAACAATATCGAACACATAACGATAAACTTGTTCGTAATGGTGCCCGTTTGTGTTGAAGATTTCCGGAGGTGGGTTTTGGTTGCAATGATCAATTGAAGGTCTTTCAATGGTTTAAATAGTGATGGTAAGCTCAAGTGGTACCAATCTCCCCCATTTAATGGCCTATATGTTTATCGGCTTGCCTTTCGAAGACGTTTCGAGGCGTTTCTACTTTGCAATCATGTCGAAACACGGATAACACTTTACATACTTCTTCATAAATTCAGAGAAGAAACAATGCTTAGGAGATGTTTCAATTTTCTTTCGAGATCTGAAATCTCTTTTGAATTTAAAAGAAAGAATTTGTCGAGATGTATCATTTTTTTATGAAAAGTTTTTTTTATTAAGCTAAAAATTATTACAAAATAGTATTTGTTCTACGTACTCTCAATCATTTGACAATGAATGGTTAATCACTCCCGCAATCGCTGGTACTCAAACCCGTGATTTTTAAGAACAACAATAATTCCTTTAATCACTGAAGTAATCATTCGAGTTTGAATTATTCGCTTTCATCCAAATTTATGAATTATAGTTCTATTAATAAGGTATTACATTTTGCAGATACGAGTTAGAAAATGGTCCATACAAGCTATAGATTATTTAATTTATCTTTTTGGCATCTTAGATCTGCGCCGAAGATTCCAATCAGTCTTTAGTGCAGCCAGAAACTTTTTACGGACGGCTTCTCTACTATTTCTTACAAAAAGTATTCGAAATACTACAACTAATGAAACGTTAAGATTAAAAATTAAAAAAAAATTAAAATTACAAAAAATGTTTGAGGTTAATTTTGATATTATATTTAATCCATCAACGAGTATTGATATAAGTGATTGAGATTTAAAAATTTGAGTTTGTAAGACCAAATTCGAGTCATACTGATGTCAATCTTGATGGACAATCTATAAATTTCTATATAAATCCTAATTGAATCTTAATATGCACTGACCTGAAAAGGAAGCCACCTGAATTAAACTTTTATGTATAAAAAAAAGTATATCTAACCCAAAGTCGGTCTTCACTTAACCCAACGATAGCCACCTAATTTAAAAATTTCTAACATTTTCTTTATAATTTGATTATTAAATTATATTTATATTTTAATATTTAATTCTTCATTTTCATCTTATTTTACCCAAAAATTTAATCAACATTCAATAAGAATGTGTCAGATTTTTAGTGATTTTTTCCATAAACTACTATAAAAATGATAATTTAAATATGATATATCAAAATAAGAAAAACAAATACAATTCAAGGCTAAATCATGGATTTCAATAACAGATACATATTAAAAGCACTTAGTACTTGGATTAACAGACATGAGATTATTTAAGCTCAATTAACAGGTTCGTTTTTTTTAAATGCAACAAATTAAACATTTTTTAGAAAAGAAATTGTTGTCTTTATAATCTTGATCTGATTCAATAAAAACAATTTTTATTTATATCATTAAACTGAATAACTGAGTCACACCCATTATTAGGATTGTAAATGAAACAAGATAGATCATGAGTCGAGTTCGACTTATTCAAAGCTCGGCCAACATTCGAATCGAATGAACTCGACTCGAACTCTTAACGAGCTACTTGATATCTAACTCGACCATAGGTATGGAAATAGTCTCCGACTATATGATACTGCTTTGTTGAGTCTCTCGACCATTAAAAGTTACAAGATGATCCCTCAACTATAGGGAGTTGCTTTATTGAGTCCCTCGGCAATTAAAAATTTATTAGATGATCACTAGATTATAGGGAGTTGCTTTATTAGGTCCCTCGACAATTAAAATTTATTAAATGGTTACTCGATTATAGGGAGTTGCTTTATTGGGTCCCTCGACAATTAAAAGTTATAAAATGGTCACTCGACTATTCATTATGTATCAAACTCGTCCTTTTCCGTTAAAAAAAATTAGTGTCGTCTGAACTAGACATTAACATGTTGAGTGAGATATGATATTCGTTTCAGATTATGAGATTATATTTTATCATATCTCAATCAACAAGTTAACGTCCAACTCAGTCTGCCGTCAATTTTTTTACAGAAAAGGATGAATTTGGAACATAATGAATAGTCGAGTGACCATTTTGTAACTTTTAATAGACTGGGGACTCAACAAAGCAACTCTCTATAGTTGAAGGACTATTTTATAATTTTTAATAGTCGGTGGCTCAATAGAACAATATCTTATAGTTAGAGGACTATTTGTGTACTTTACCCTAACAATATTAATCTTTATATGTTTTTTTAAAAATGATAAAAACTTTCATGCGCTTAAGGTTCAGGTTTGAACCAAACTCGAGTTTGAGTTTCAATCGAGCTAAATCTGATAATGTTTGGAGTTTTAATTTTTTCAAGCTTGAGTCGAGCTTCAATTTTTTTATTTCGAGTCGAGCTTGAAAATTTTAAGCTCGCGAGCTTTAATTTTTTATTTCGAGTTCGATTTGAACTTGATAATTTTAAGCTTATAAGTTTTTAAGTCGAATCGATCTCAATTTTAAACTTTTTCAAATTGAATAAAACATGATATTATCTAAACTTGACTCAATTCGTTTATATCCCACCTGTAATTCACACGAAAAAAAAGAAAAAAGCAAAATCGTCGGCTAAAGCATCCGATCCCTTTTTTTTTTCTTGCGTTATCATGAAGCAGCCGTTAGATGCCGGTGATCTCCTTTAGAGTTGCATAAGGAATATATATATGGTTTTTAATGCATGGATGCCTTTATAAAGAATAGAAAACTTTCTCACTTTCAATTCCTCACGTAACTTGTTTAACGTAATTTTATAAATTCGAATCTTAACATTATAAATAAATTAAATTAAAAATTTGTTTGCATAATAAATTAAATATAAATCCCTAAAATATATGTAAAACTTGAAATTTTATATATTTTATATGCACTAATACACTTACACCCGAGTAATGCACATACTTCTTTTTCATGCTATAAATACAAGTACTCTACGGAAGGAGGATAACACCGATTAAAGATGGGAGCTTCACAGTCACAAGACTTGGAACCGAAACTCGAAAACAATACGGTCGAGCCGAAGAACCGGGAAAATAATGTCCCGGTACGGCCGTTAACAACGGAGAAAACACCTGACCCTAAGCTTGTCATCGATCCGAAATCATCAAAGAAAACCGAGAAAATACAACTTCCGTATAACTACGAAGCCATCTTGAAAGATGCCGACTCGCATGTCGGTATGTCCGGCATGGATGAGTTGCTCCCTCAGATTCATTCCGGGGTTTTCTTGAACCAGAAGAGAAAGGTAAGTGCCTCATTCATGTCAAAAGATGTTAAGTCAAACTATGGTTTTGGTCCCTCAAAGATGATCAAGATTATGATTTAGTCTCCGTACTCTAAATTAGCATAGTTTGCTGCCCTCCTCTACTTTTATAATTATGGTTTGGGTCCCTCTCCTATGGTCAAGTTCAATATTTAGTCTCTATATTTTAAATTAACATAATTAAGTTTCTCAACTTTTATAATGTTGTTAGCCCGTAGAATTCCGGTCCATCACACAAAAAAATCAACTTCGGAAAAATGAGTTTGAATGATTTTTTTTTATATAAAAATTATTAATTTGATCGAATAATTCAAACTAACTAATGATATTCGAACCGTTTTCGGAGTTCGATATTCTGATGGCATCCATTAATGTTTGCAGAAGTACTGGGTAGATAAGAACAACAAAAACTGCTTCATGTTGTTTGCAAGAGATCTCTCCATCACTTGGGCTGAAGACAGCCGTTTCTGGCACTGGACACATCAAACGGAAGCAACCAGGTCGATCGATCCATTCCTATTTTAATTTTTCATTTTTCGTGATGTACCCGTACTTGTTTTATTCATAGCTTGGGGACGTTTCGTGCAATTAACCCAATAATTAAACATACCCGAATCGAACACTCACCTCGAACCCGAGTAACATTAACCTTGGTTAATTTATTGCAGTGATGTTGAAGTTGCTGAGCTTGTACAAGTTTGCTGGCTAGAGTTGGTCGGAAAATTCCATGTATCAAAGCTCTCACCAGGGACATTGTACCAAGTTGTCTTCATTGTCATGTTGAAAGAAGAAGCATATGGATGGGAAGTGCCAGTGAATTTCAGGCTTACTCTTCCGAATGGGCGAAAAATTGAACGCAAAGAGACTTTGATGAACAAGCCGAGAGGGAAGTGGATCGAAAATCCGATCGGAGAATTCGAAGCTTCGTTCGAAACTGGTGGAGAAATGGAAATCTACATCCATGAATATGATGCCGGGGGATGGAAGAGCGGGCTTGTTGTTAAAGGAGTTGCCATTCAGCCGAGAGAGCTAAGTTAATCCGGTCGTTAACAGTTTATCAAATACGAACCTTTGTAATTTTACGGGTCATTTAAGTTCGATGTTGTTTGATCTAGTAACGATAAGCTTATTACGATGAAGGATGATAATAATAATACGCTGCTTATGAATACATTCAACAATTTACACCATTGAAAGAAAGTAAGAAACCATGCTTGAGTTCAAGGTCATGTAACACACAATAATATACAGAGTTACAGAGGACAAATGAAAAGCTTTACTTTGCTCTCATGGAGTCCGATTTCCATTAATCAATGGATACACTTATGGCATTTAGCTCGACATGTTGCTTACCCTCGTTTTGTGGATGAACGACGACGGTTGCATGAACTTCGGACCTCAGGGATTGCTTATTTCCCTCTTGCGAAACAGAAATCGAGCTGAGGACTGATTTTCTACTAGCCACGTCATCGGGATCGTCTTCATCTTTGGAAATGATTTCCCATTCCTCTTTGAGTGAAGTAACTTGTAAGCCTTTCTCACGGTGACTTTCCATTTCGAATGCTGTTGGCAGAATAACATAATCATTTATTGGATTGTAGAAAGGGTCTGGGTCACCTGCCCTCAACCACTGTTTGAGGATTCGGAATACGTGAGGTTCACAAAGAATTCCCCGGTGCTCACCGGGGACTGCAACCCTAGCTTCAGCATGTAGTCCATCTGCCTGGAAGTAAAATGAACAAATGAGTTCAAGGCGTTTCCATTTCAATCCCACAATACACATCAAGATTTCAAATCAGAAAGACTAATCGACATGCAATAATTACAATAATGGTGTGATCATATCGATTATTCTGAATATAACTTGCTTGTCAAAGTATGAGGTTAATTGAAATCTAAAGACTTGCTTGCCAAAGGATGAGGTTAATTGAAATCTAAAGACTATGGTCGCCCGAACACTCTTCGTGACTCGAATAACCACATGGATTACTCGATGTTATTCATATTTCAATTAATATGGTAATAATGGAATAACTGGAAGACGTAAGAAAATGGGAGTAGGCTAACCTTAGCTGATTCTGTCGGAACCGTTCCATCACCATCAACACATACATATTTGGGCTGATATACAAAAGAAATTCAGTAATCAAATCATTAAGTCTAATATATTTGGGCTGATTTACAAGTTTTTAGAACTACAGCACCAACAATAATCACCTGAAAGAACCGTAAGTCGTGTATATTTGTAACCGGTGTCTCCTCACTTCCATAGCTGCAAAATTATTAAAAATCAAAACCCAAAGTACAAAAATAACATAAATAATATAAAGTTTGGAACTGAAACGGAAATTATTATCGAGCAATTTAAAAAAAATGATCGAATAGAGGCATCACCAAACGCTGTGCGGTGTCTCAAGATTGATCCCATATATATTGTAGAATTTAACTCCGGAAGGAACCTTTGCGTGAGACAACACCTTTCGAGTCTTTTTAACCAATTTCAAGATCTCCAAATTGAAAGGTAGTGGAATATTCTCTCCGTCATAATCGACCTGAAATTACAAACGCAAACGATTGCTTGGAACCCGTAATCGAAGATAATTTCCTTATTTTATCTTAAGATACTTCTCAATGAAGCTTTTCCTTTTTCAATTTATTTATTTTTTAGTAATGGACTCGCACCTAAGAAAAATAACTTCTTGCACAATCAATGTTCATATCTTACCGAGTTAACAGAAAGAGCTTCCTTAAAAATATCAATGCAATCTCGAGGGCGATAGGATTCTAGAATAGTATGAGGAATTCCATCACAACCTTCTTTCTCCCTCCATATCTCAAGAAATGGTGTATGTTGCCAATGGAAATGTGGACAAGCCATTAACTCGTATATCGATGGGCACTCGATTAGCTGAATGATGCAGCACAGAAGTAAACAATTCAAACTGATCTAAAAATAACAATGAAGAGCATAGGCATAACAAAATCTACACAAGCATTTCAATAAACTCGCATGTAGCAGCTACTGGCTGTCTGCAGCATAAGGCAATCACAATCTTCCATCGAATTAAGGCAACATGGAGTAGGACAACTCAAATACCGAAATACAGGTTAATCATTTGAGATTACTCATTATCCTTTAAGCCTACCAATCAAAAGTTTTGGCCTATAAGTAATCCACTCTTAATTCAAGTCGAGAAGCTTATGTCATAAGCCCCCAAGTAACAGCTGGTAGATGATTTCAACCACTTATGCCTTAACAGAAATAAACAAGCACATAAACTAAAGCGTAAAAAATTAGGAGTGCACGATTAGGTGAGAGAGGCGAGACATTTTAACGGGCTCTATATCCGTAAGTGATGGACACATCAATAGAGAGTTAATGCCCTCATCAACATCTAAGTAGAAATGCTGAAAATGAAAAGTAATTTAGAAAATAACTACACATACCAATTGATGCATGCTCCACTTTGAAATGAAAAAATTCTGTTCCCACCCGTCAACAAATGACATTCCATTTAGAAAGGTAGAAGCAATATATCCAGGTGCACCTGTTGGAAACATGTAAATTGCATCTCAATAAGGACTTGAATCGAAATTAGATCAAACTGTCTAACTACTAGATCATCTCTTGCTTTTTTTACCAGAACTATAGAATTATTTAGCGGACATTGTGATGGATGATGCTTCCGAATCCGGAATAGAATGATGTTTAAATTGAAATTGCTTAAGTCAAGCGATATTGTAATACTGTACAAGTCAGCAATTTCCCTTGGGGCAATTGATGATTTGAATTGAAACTATTAATTGTCTTGTTCTCTACTCAAGTTACAAAGACCACTTACCCCGGAATGGTGCAGCAATTGCAATCCAGTTCTTCACATATTTCTGAAAAATCTACAGAAGAAAAGAAGCGGTATATCATGAAGAGATACAATACTAAACCATAAAAGTGGAGTAGTAATACAAGGAAAACGAGGAAGAAGATGGGAGTGGATTCCTTACATCACTGTGAAGGCCCATGAAACATTTTACCAAAAGGCCGCCCATAGAATGACTAATGATATTTATCTTTTTCCCTCCTGAAGCATTGTACACCGACTCCAATTTCGCCGCCAAGCGGTCCATTGTTTCTTGCAACCTAAAAGGGAAAAAAAAGGCAAACAACAGATTGAAAGCAAATATTCAATTATAAGGACAAATAAGGCCACAAGACTACATTACAAAGAGAAACGATTAACAAGTAAATCATGACTATACCTGTTACTCTGGCGAAAATCATAACCAAACCCGAAAAGTGTTTTCCCTTCTTGAAAACCCCACTTGATCATTTCAACGATCATATCGTGAAAATAACCAACACACTCACGACCGATGATCTTGCATCAAAACGAAAAGATGATCAAAACCCATCATTAGTTTATTGTCACTCCATCCAAGATGAAATCTAACTTCAGTTAAGGGGGCAGAAATTTTGATTTTTTTTAGGTTAACATCCGAATAAACCTTCTTGGATCATACATTACATGATAATACACATATATACGTGGTTGTATGTATGCATGAATGCATGTATACCATGTCAGGGTCCAATACATCAATAGCTTGAAGTCCATATCTTCCATCAGGAACTTTAATAGTTGTATTTGGATCTAAGGAAACAGATTTACCTGTTTCAAAACCAATGAAACAACAATTACATAATCAATCCAAAAAACTCAAAACAAAACATAAAAAATACTATCGTAAAAAGAAATCACACTTAAATTCAATGGAAAGTTCTTTCAACCAGATCTTAGCTAATAGATACCCAACACGCAATAGCCAATTCCAATGATTATGGACGTAAGAAGAAAGAAGAAGAAGAAATCCCCAAAATACTCAAACCAAAAAAGAAAAACACTTTCAAGCTTCAACAATTCCACTATAAAAATAGAAAGAAAATTCACCAGTAGAAGGATCAAAACGAGACCAGAGCTTGGTCCGGAACTTATAATCGGCACCGACGATCCGAACCCATACCCGCTCTTCTTTCCCATTTTGATCATCCACGGCAGTCAAAATCGACCCGGCAATACCCGGAACTAATAAAACCGGATCCAGATTCGGGTCAACGTACGGTTGCGGCTTCTTAATCAGCTTCAGCCACGTCTCCACAGATTTTACAATATCTTCCAATAACACCGCCATACCCCAAACAAAAACTAGTTAATTTTTTTCTTCCAAAATTCACCAAAAAAAAAATGAGATCTTTTTAAAATATATGAAATTTTGGTTTTTCTTTGAATTTAAGGTTTGAGATTTTAGAGGTGAATGAGTTGATCACGTTTAAAGGAGAGACAGAGGAGACAAGCAACCGATTTACTTACAGAAGCTAAATAAAGAAGAAAACACAGCAAATAATATTAATAATACTAATATATTGTTTTTGTTTTGCTTTAATTTGAACATTATCTTATTTCAACTCTGGGTTAATTTCAATAATGGTCCTCAAAAGATGCTCTATATTCTATATTTGTCCCTAATTTCAAAATGTCTTGATTAAATCACCAAAGTATCAAATAGCATACCAATGGATTTTTAGGTTAGCCTAATCATTTGTTTGAGTGTTAAATGTTAGCTTAAATTTGATGCGTAATATATTTAGAATAGATATGTTTATTGCATGAATAATTTAAATTGAATACAATAAAAAAGTAGGACCATTTTGGCTCCTCAACTTCAAGAATATAATCATTTAGTCCTTAAAATTTTATTATGTTTGTTACTCTTAAACTTTTATTAAAAATTTAATTGATCTAAATATAATAATATTAATAATAATAATAATAATAATGTGGTTAAGTTGATATCAAGTATTTTATCTTTTCTTATCACGTGGTTAAAAATTAAAAGCAAAAAAAATTACAAGTTACTCTTTTATCTTTACTTTGATTTTGATAATAATTATTTTCTTTTACAATTTTTAATATTTATTTTTTTAATGATATGAGATAATATTTCAATAAAAATAAAATACCTAATATCAATTTAACAACTCATTGTTTTATCATGGTTAGGTCAACTTAACAAAAAAATTGCACGAACCCAAGTGACAAAGAAATTGTTGTTAATTATTGAGGTTCTGGGTTTGAGCACCAAGAATGTCAAGGGTACGAGTGTTCAATATCAAATGGTTAAGAGTTATCTTTGAACAAATATTAATTTATACTTACCCTAAATTATAAAAAAAAGAGTGTTTAAAACTAAAAAAGCACAATAAAATCTAAAAACTAAAATAATTAAATTGACAAAGTTGAGGAACCAAATAGATCCTTCTATCTATTAAAAAATAAATAACACTCATATATTTTTTTCACATTGTCAATTATAATATGTAAACAAATAGTGATATATTTATGTCAAGAATATATTATTATTTTATTGATTAAAATGTTATGTTTAATTATTCTGTCACTAAAAAATAAATGGCACATGTAGCAGCAACGTACAAATTACAACTGAATTATTTATCGGTCACAATTTTCTAACGTGTCCCCATCGCTGAGAAGACAAAATCCAAAAGGAAGTTATCAACCAATATATATATATATATATATATATTTTAAAAAAGATCGGATTTGAATTATTTGGGTTTGATAGTTAGGTTTTTTTAGTGGAGTCATTCTGTGTTATTTTTAGTTCAAAATATTTCTAATTTCGATATTTTTTTAGATTATATAAATATAAATTGTTGATCTTCTATGATCAAATTTAACATATTCGATTTTTTTATTTGAATTAATAAATTGAAATTTTCAAATTCATGTCGAAGTTGATGAATTTAACTTAAATACTTCTATCTTAATGGAACTCGTTCAAGTAATTTAATCTTCAATTGTAATTCATCTAATTTTAAAAGTAAAACTCCATCTAAATAGAGCAAAAGTTGGGTGAGAAAGGAAGGTCATCGGACATGATATGGACGATGAATTCTCTCAATTATAACCTAACTATAAGTAATAATGTTTTTTTATTATACTACAAAATCTTTACAAAAGTGCCAAATAATTTTTTTTAATTAATCACGAGTATCCGATCTATTGACGACTAATTCAGATCGGGTACTGCAGAGACAAAGGCAACCCTTCCAACTCAGTTTGCTCCATTCACAAACGTCAATATTCAAACCCCTGACCTTACTTAAGAGACCTAGTGTCTCGTTCCACTAAACTAACTTGTTGTTGGTAAGAAACATTCTTTAATTCTCTATTTCTCCATTTCCTCTTACATAGACGACCCAGAAGAGATCATACTTAACGCTCGATGAAAATCCGTCGAGGTACGGCAACACGTTTTCCCGATAATCGCAGGTCAGGATCCATGAATAGCAATGGAGAAGTGATTTCCATACATAAAGGCAAGCTACCATTGGCATGGTTTGGCATTTCAAGCAAACACCTGATGTTGCTCCCTCCATCTTCGAGAAACTTGACTTGAATATAGCTAAGTTCGCGTAGGTGACGTCCTGTAATTTACTGAAAGACGGCGACGAAATCAGGTTCATCGAGATCACGTCGCCATTGGAGAACTTGGCCGCATTCGAGCCGTCTTTAGACTCTCCGGCGTATGAATCAAAGAAACTATGTTCGGTTAAAATGGCCATGCTTGACATGCTTGTTAACATTGATAGCTGAAAATGGGGGAAAAGAGACAATTAGGAGTTCATAATCATGATTAATCAGTTCAAAAATAAATTCAATTTGAGTAAGTGTTGGATAAGAGTACGTATTTGATATAAATATACTCATATTTTTAATATTAAACTTTTTTTAGTCGAATATTTTTTTATTTAAAACCAAGAACTTAATCCGATCAAACCCTAAACCAATGCAAATACAAACTTATTTGCCAATATAAATCAATAACCCAAACCTACAAATTCCAATCCGAACCTAGAATAATAAGTCTGAAAGGGCAGAAATAAATAATCTTGGATAATACCAAGTGATGATCACGAATATACTAATCTTTATCATTTTAAGCCTATTACGAATTCAATCAACTTCGACTCAAACACGTAATATCTACCCAATCAAATTGAACCAAAAATTGATACAATCCGATTGAACATATAAATCCATAACCAAACCGGAGTTTAAGTTGACTTGAATTCGAGTACGAAATGATACTAACAAGTAACCCGAATTGAAAATGACTTGAATACAGAATAACAGAACAAGTAATCCTAATTTAAAAGTATCTAAAATGATCCGACCCAGAAACCTGAATAATCCAAACCCGAATCCATTCTAATTGACCGTGTATATGCAATTATAGTTGTTGTGTTCTACACGATCAAGCAAGGATCAAATACTGCCAAAAGAAAAGTATTATAGCAGGAGGAATCCAACTTACTAGGGTTTTAATCAAATCTTCTTTGTTTTCAGTAGATTTCTTCACCCAGCCTCCATACCATATGATCTGAAATTACCCAGAATAAATCACTTCAAAGAAAATAAAATAAAAAAATGGAACAAATTTCGGAATCGGATAAAAGATTAAAAGCTTACCAGATTGCCATGAATGCTCTTGAGAATAGAACTTTGAATACAACCCAGATCTTCCGTGCAAACGCAGAACCGTTTCAATGATTCGGTGAGTTCATCGACGAGAACAACCGTTGGTTTAAATACAAAGAAGGTTACGTCTAAATTCCTGTCGTTGAAAGGAAGAAAGCAAGCCATGCTCTGTTTTTGTATTGTTCTCTCTTCTTTTTAATTTCTTGTTTTTAAAGGGTTTAACAATGGCGTAGCTGAGGGGGTTTGAATAAAGAAGCAACTGGAAATCAATGAGTCATGGGGAGCTTGCTTGGTCTACCTTTGACAATTTTGATTGGGAGAAGAGAAAAGATTAATAAAAAAATCAGATTTTTTTGAAAGTAATTAGAAAAAGACATGGTATTAGTCTTCTGTTTTGACTCTTTCTATATGATAAAACGAGTTTACATTTCCATGCAAGGATTAATTACAATTATAAATTACCTTTTTCTTTTGGGTAAATTACACCCATCATCACGTAATTATGAAGCAATTTCAAATTAATTATTCATCTTTTAATTTTATCAATCAAAGCATTTAATTGTTTAAATGATATCAATTAAACCACAATCAAACTATATATTAATATTTGAAGAAAAAAATTGACATGAAAATTAAAAATGATACAACTATACATTTTATCCTCTTATTATTTACGTATTCTATAATTTGATTCTAATTTAATTTAATAATTTTCAAGTAGAAATTAGTAAAAAAATAATTGGATTAAAAAGTTATATGATATGGCATAATATGTTGATATATCAATAACGATTTTTATTAAAAGAATTTAAACTTTTAGCCTATAAAAAAAGAAAAGAAAAAACATATTAAATCATTTCAAATTTAAAAAACATCGTCTTACCCTTACCTAGGGTAAAAGAATAAATCGTATAAAAGTAAATATTAGAATAACCCGTGTATTGTACTATATACAAACTAGTATAATATATATATATATATATGATTATGGTGGATTGACAAAATTAAATAAATATTTATTTTTATAAATTTAAGGTTTAAATATGCTAAGAATAAATGTTCCCAAAAAAAATATGCTAAGAATATTAAAATTCAATCTCTGCTTTGACTTTTCTAATCCTAAAAAAAAATCAAACGACGTCGTTTACTATATATATATAACTCTTGATACCAATTAGCTACTGAAATCTTTAAAATGATTTTACTTCTAAACTGAATAATAAACTTGCTCGTCTTCTCCCATCAAAATCCAGATGGGATGGAAAACCATGAACTTTTCTCTCCCGAAATATCCGCATTACTATAAACCTGCATAAACAAGATAGAAAAGGGCACTTGGTATTATGCCCGTGATTGAAGTACACGAGCAAAGAGCTACCGAGGACACATACATATAAATGATATATAGCATGAATGAGCTTCCAAAGGACATGGCTCACCTCGCTATAGGTCTATGGGTACCTTCAGACCGTCGTGTGCGAGTTGGACCTCGATGTCGATTCCTTCACTACATACAATTAAAAAGAATATTGGATATTGTTTTGTTTCTGAGAAATTCAGGTAATTTTCAATAACATGAAATTTTGTAAAAGGAAGATGGAAATCCAATTTACCTCTTACACAATTCCATAAGCCACTCATTGTCTTTATTTTGATCAAAATCGTGAGTCATTCCAATTAATAAAGCTCGTTTAGGGCATATCCTCTTTAGAGCCTCGAGAGTCTGAAAAATAAAATAAGTGGGTGGGATGTGATTGGTTTGTGACCATTAAACTATTAATGCGAAGATGAATTATTGGAAAGTATAGAATAAACCTGAGGTAAGCATAAGTGGACGTTATGAGATCCTTTCTGGTATGCAGAAAACACAAAGCATGCTAGTTCAGAGAAGATATAAACCGTTAAAAACACAATGAATAATACGACAATCATAAATCAGTGATGATCAGACTAAGCACGGAAATTTACACCTCAAATGCATTGGAATGAACTAGATATAAAGATCTCAAGCATCATCGTTAGAGAGAAAAATACAAAAATCATATTATCTTCCAGGGTTAGGTTAAGGTATATAGAAAATAATGAAATTCTCAAGTTTGTTAACCATTTGATTGTTTTCTATGTTCATTAAACCTCTATATTAGTAGTTTTAAAGTTGGTGAAAATTTTGTTACTTCAGATATTAGATTTGTAAACCAAAAGCAAATCCCAACTTGACCATTTGACATATTAAACAATCATCTATGGTAGAGCAGCACTCACATATAAGCAGATCTGTTATGGAAGAATCAGCATGGATCAAATACTGTCTTTCAATTTCCTTAAATTCCTAGAAAAATTCACCAACTACAACAATGAAGAGAAACGGAAAAGAGAGAATCAAGGAAGTAACGCACCTTGTATAAACAATCCAATATCAGAAGATCCAGTTGTCCGCCACCATTTTTGGAAATAACTATAAACATAATATTCCGATCAAACACAATTCATGACCTGAACAGCTCAGAGTAAATGCATAAAGAAAATACTTAGAACGCCAAAAACTTAGAAGTGAGAAAACATTTGCTTTCTTTTCACCAAGTCGCACTTGGCATCAACAGATCAGAATAAGTGCATAAAGCAATGATCCCTGAGCATTTTATATTTTGCAATTTGTGTAAAGCCACAAAGAAGTATCCTGTTCGTGAACTCTCATTAAGGTTAACAACAATAATCTGTTTTAAGTAACAAAAAAGGGATTTGAGTAAAATATTAAATCAATACTTGAAGGATCCTTCAATTGTTAAGTCATTGAGGAAAATCCAACGCATACATTCCTACAAGTCTAACACTGACAAGCTACTAAAGATAGCGTGTAGAAAATAGAATCTCCTCCCCACATTTAACATCAAGAAGAAGAAAATATGTATAAAGGTGTAAATGCACGTGCACCAACAATAAAAGGAGAAAAAGCAACACCTACCATACTCAGTGTTTGAAGGAAAACGTGAGACATCAGAAATATAAGCCACTTTAGATTTTTCACCAAAAAGAAAACCCAAACAGATATAATCTTCTCCATGCATCACCTGGACCAAAAGTCTGATTAAGCACTTAGACATAAATTTTAGGTAGATACAGTATATTATATTAAGAAAGCATACTAACCGGCAAAGGAACAAATTTTAGCCCTGAAGCAACAAATGGCTTGTCATAGCTCTCCTCAATTATCTTCCAGTCAAGTTGTGCCACCCGACGTACTTCTTGACCTTCTCTAAGTTTCTTCTGAACCAGGTAAGGAAATTTTGAAGCAATGCTGTTTAGAGACAACCAAAGTAAACATTATTCAAGGTTGCTAGAGATATCATAAACCAAAAACAAATCCTTTCTGCTATTGATAGCTTGCTTGGGAAATAAGTTTCAATTCTAACATCTGAAACCAAACTTTTGAATAAGCTACTTAAAGCATTTTATTGCATTAATCTCTCACCTTACAAAAAAACATGTCAAACAACATATATCTTGATGATATATAAGAATAGCAAGAAATCTGCAGGCTACAAACAATGATCCAGTGAAATAAAAAAGAGAGCATAGTATTACCTATCCATGGCATATTGAGTTAGGTAAATCTCGGTGGGATCAATATCGTTTGTAGGACTATGAGGTTGCACAACACGTATATCATCCAAACCAAGAACTGCATCAGCATGTTCATGAGTCAAAACAATCTGCATTCATACAGAAATGAGTACTAGCTTGGAATTCCATTCATAAACAGAAAATATTATATTAGTAAAAAGCATAAAGCCATTACATACAAACAACTAGCTCGCTATAAATCATATAAAACAATAGAACATATAAAACCAAATTTAAATCCTAACCATTTTCCAAATAATTTACTACAAAAATAAACCAAAACAATAAATGCGGGAAAGAAATGAAATTTAACTCACTGAATCGATCCGAGGAATCTTGTGGAATGTAAACCATCGAAGAACTTGCTCCTTAAATGTCTTCCCAACATCAATTATAATATAATTATGGATACCATTGGTCGAACAATAATCTATAAGCAAAGATGTATTACACCTGGGGGAAAAAGCATCGAAATCAAAACAAAAAGGGGGAAATTAAAATATTTTAAGAAACTAAACCGAAAAACATATCTTAGGCACACAAAAAACTCGGAAAAGTTCAGATCCGCTATATTATATATATAATTATTCGGTACACAAGGGAGCTTTTTAATTTCAATTGACATTTAAATATAAAAGAAAGCTCTCTTTTGAAGAAGTTAATAAATTCCACCACCACAATATGCCAAATAATGATCCTATATATATAGAATTAATTAAGCAAAAGAAGAGGCAACGGAAGTAAACCTGTAATTAGGGTTGTGTTCGGAAGGGATTGAGAGGGATTGAGAGCAAACGTGACAAGGAGGATCGGAGGGCTGTAGGAGGCACATTGCGTTGGGGACGACGCTGGAGCAGCCGGTTCCGAGGAAGATTAAGACCGAACCATCGCTGTCACGGCGGCGGTCATCGACGGCGATTAATAATCCACCGTCAATATTGTTCCCACTCTGGAGCGGTTTTTGATTTTCCATATAAATTTGTTTTTCAGAAAGGGAAAAGGAGAGGAAAAAGAAAGGAGAAATTTTTTGGCGTAAAGGGACGAGGAGGGAATATTACGAAAGGTAGAGGGTATTTATAGGGATGCTATTGCCCGCGAATTGTTGTTGACGCTGTGGTTCTTGTACTGTTGCCACGTGGTAATTGTTAAAATCTAACGCAGCTATGATGTCTTTATTAGAAAGATTAAAATTCTTATTACTATTACGTTTTTGGATTATAAAAACTATTATTATTATATTATTAATCATATTAAAAATCTTAATTGAATTTGGTGTTACAAGTAAACTCAAATATCAATAGAATTTGAATTCATTAAATTATTTTTACTTTAAATTATAATAAATATTATTATATTTATATTAATAATTAAATTTGGTATGAAGAGTCGACTTAAACACTAATTTAGTTTAAAATTAAACTTGTGTTAAAAGGATGCATGGAAAGTACTGATGATAGTCTTAACTATTAATTTGGGGTTATATGAACCGCTTAGGATCAAATTGGGGTGATTTTACGATATTTAGAGATTAAATCTATATTATTATATCGAAATTGTTCTAGCAATATCGATATTAGTTGAATATAAGGGAGGAAATCTGGGTTTTTAGGCTTGGGGTATCGATATCAATTCATCTATTTTTTATATCATTTTTATGGTATCGATACCACTCGAGGGTATCAA